GCCGAAGGACCCAGTCTCATTCTCAACAAAAAATTTCGTAGTTGCCATCGTGATTCTTCTCGTTTGTACGAATTTTCTCATCCCCATGAATCAAAATCTCATCTTTTGCTAGTTCCCATCTGGGTTTGGATCCATTTCACCTTTTTTCTGATGTCAAAAGTCTAACTTTTTTTTTATATTTCACTTCGCTTTTGACGTCAAAAGCTTCTCTTTTCTCAATAACAAAGCTCATTTCTCAGAGGGAATAATGTTGTCCAGATCCCGAAACATCCTCCATTAATCAAATACATCTCTACCCCCACCATTAAAAAAAAAACGCCCAATTCGCACCCAGAATGGGCTGCACGAGCTCGAAAGAGCCGCCGCGCCGCCCGCGGCGAATCCGCGCCGTACTCCCGCAGCGCGATCATGCCGGTCGCCGCCTCCGGCTCCTCCCGCAAGGTCGTCCGACAGCAACCGCCACGTGGTCGCCCTCACCTCCACCACCCTCGGGTCCCTCGCCTGACTCCGCCCGGCGAACCGCGCCACCTCCTCCTCCTCCGACGTCGACGACGAAGTGATGATGAAAACAACCAACGACATCAAAAACTGGTCGCAGTTCATCGAGGCCCGAATCCCCAAAACCCTCACCGAGCCCGAAACGATCAACACCTGGGAGCTCATGGAAGGCCTCGAAGAGGCCGAGGCCCAATTCAGCCGCCGGTCATCCGCCGCCATCGAAAGATCCTCGTCCTTCGACAATGCAGCACCATCGCCCAAACCCCAGTGGCTTGAATCAACCCCCGACGAGCCAATCGTCTCCGATTTCGACCCCGAAATCCTCTCAAATTTCAGAAAAGCCCTCAGCGAGCTCTCTCCTCAGCATCAAACCCTGCTCAAATCCCCCGAACCCATAAAGAAACCATCTTCCATCGTCAAAGAGAGAATCACAGAGTTCCAGCAGAGAATCGACGCTAAAAAGGGCAAAAAATCTCCTCCCAATTCCGAAAAGAGGGTGGTAATTTACTTCACCAGCCTCCGAGGAGTTCGAAAGACCTATGAAGATTGCTGGGCGGTGAAGGTTATATTACAGGGGTACGGAGTTAAGGTCGATGAGCGAGATGTCTCGATGCATGGAGGATTCAAGGATGAACTGAATGAGGTACTGGGGTCTGGATTCGGGGGGTGTCGCCTCCCCAGGGTTTTCGCCAACGGGAGGTATTTGGGAGGGGCCGAGGAAGTGAAGGCAAGGCATGAGGCAGGGGAGTTAATTAGAGAGTTGGAGGATTGCGAGTCGATCGGAAAAGGAGGAGGAGGCGGAGGTTGCGAGGGCTGCGGCGGGGTCCGGTTTGTTCCTTGCGAAACGTGCTCAGGGAGTTGTAAGGTGTTCGTCGAGGAGGAGGAGGAGGAGGAGGAGGAGGAGGAGGTTGGTGGTGGTTTCCGGCGATGTCCTGACTGTAATGAGAATGGGCTTGTAAGGTGCTCGTATTGTTTGTGATATACCAAGAATTTTGCTTGTTTTGATATGAAGGTTGTTGTATAGGGGAAGAGGGTGATAATTTATAAACTCTCATTTTAATTTGAGGTTTTTTGTTTTGAATTTTTTGGTCTTGGGATTGGAATTGGGATTGTTGAGTTGTAGGGGAGCGTGAGATTATGTTCTTAGTGTAATAATGATGAAATTATAGTAACGACACTTTGAAACTTTTTAAGGATTGAGATATTGCTTTTTTGTGACATGCTTCTTACTTGTCATCTAAATTTGTAGAGCAATGTCTCATCACTTTGACATTCTATTGTTTTGTTATTTGTTACGATCCTAGTTTGATCTTTATGTTCTTGAGTGCCTATGGAGTTTGTCCATGACGCAACGCATGAAAACCTAGTTGAAAAAGTGTACGTTTCTTTTGCTCATGTCTGATGTGTGATCGATGTTCCCTTTTGTTTCCTCTCATTTTTATAGAGATCTGAGTTCTTTGCGTATGAAAACCTAGTTGATAGTTAAGCTGTTACAAACAAATACGGTGTACATTAAAAATTAGCTCATACAGTGTCAGTCAATCTTTCTTACGAGATATTACCATCCTCAAAACTCCAAGCATGCATTAACCTCGATTAATGATTTTCTTAAGGTTGTGTTTGGCAACTTCACACTAATCCGGTTAAGATCTTAACCGGGGCTGGATTGAACCAAGGTGGAGGTGGTCCAAAGATAACCTAGATAAGAGCCCCTTCTCTGAGAGGAAAAAAGATTAATTTTGCATAAGTTTTTGTCAAACATATTTAAACGTTTATCAAAAAATTTATACTCATCGTAGGCGATCCGAATGGCTAGGAGGCTCTAATATGACTTCCACGGTCTTATATTCGAGTCTGGGATGAGTTATTAAAAAAAAAAGAAGAAAACTTTAGTGTTCTTGTCCAAGTTAGCAGGAGGGTTAAATTCTTGTTAGTTTATATTATAGTAACACATAGAATTTGCCTCTATATTGGAGTTCTCAAGGTACAACTCCCATCGTGTGTTGCGGTTGAGGAGATCTCTTGTTTTCTTTGTCGTGTCCTTTTCTTTTGTCACCTTGTATTTAATTAGCTTAATCAACGAATAACTCCGGCAAAACTGACCATTTGTTTGGCTGATAACGTTCTTAATTAATTTACTAAAGGAAGGAAACAATTTTCATGTCTTATTACTTTATATTTCAGCAATTCCAACTGGGTAAAAAACTTTTTTTTTAACTCTTGTTATTCGATTAATTTCATCTGTATTCGTTCGATTTCTTGTGACTTGTGCAGTGTCCTTGTCACCTCATCTGTATCTCTCAAGGCTATGTTCCTGTTTCGGAATAAGATGTACCTTAGCTTCTCATGGATTCTGTCACCTATTGGTAGCGGATGATATTATGATTGTCATGAAAGGGACCAATCACGAATATCGTAGCCTTTACGGGACTTTCCTTGGGTGAAAATGTAATTTTGTTAATTTGAGGAACGACGCTGAAAATTGGTGAGATCTCAGCATCAGATCATAAGATGAAAATGTTAACATCCATTTAACTCTGGTGCACAGCACAAGGAAAGAAATACTACACCAAACAACTGAGACTTCATACTGCAAGAGGAAAATGGCACCATCAAGGACAGCTTCAAACGTCCTCCTCCTTCAGCAGTCGGCGCACAGAAGATTTATGGGTGCGTACATTTTGAACAGAACAGAGGGATGAGATATAATAGAACCAGCCCAACTCAATCATCAACTTCAACAAAAGGGACAAAATGCAGGCTACAACAACAGCAACAAAGTTTCAACCAAATTATCGAATCTTTTATTATCGCTTACAACCAAATTCTCTCTAGTCTACCCCCAAATCTCCTGTCTTTGACTCGGTCAACCGGCATAAAGAAAGGGCAGGACATCAGACACAGATCGCATTAGCTATGATATACAACTGAAGAGGTTTATCATGTCCATTCAGGCAACATGATTACAGATACCAAGTAATATTGATCTTCACAGCAACTGAACACACAAGCCACTTAATAATGTAACCCTTCACCATAAACCAATTCTCTTCGTTACTTATTTACAAAAAGAAGCCCTTGGCTTCAATGCCCATTGCCATGGCTTGCAAGCTCAGCTGCAGCCTTAGAAGCTCTACTAAGAGCATCAGAAACAAACATAGCTCCTGCAGAGAAGTAGCTACTGTTAACCACCGAGCTCGCGACAGAAGCAGCAGTCCTCCCAGTGGCCGAAACCACCTTCTTGGTCGTCTCTGACACATGATACTGCTGGTCCACCGACCTAACTGCATCAACCCCAGCACAGATTTTGTCGGTGAGGCCAACCCTATTGCTCAGTTCTGCCACTTTGGCAGCAGCAGTGGCAGAGACTCGATGAGATTCGTCAAAGGCTTTAGCCTTGGCTAATGCATCTTTGCTGAGGATGTAGCCTTTGGAGAGCATGGTCTTGACTACTTCCTGTGCCATTGTTGCTGCTTCACTTGGAGTGGTTCTGAATTGGTGCATATGAGAAGCCTGTAGAGGATGGGAAGTTATGTGAGATTTACTCTTAAATTTATTTAAAAGTACATGAAAGTCTTTTTTTCCATCTGATGCATTGTAGATGTTTTGACGCATGTGATTTTCATGTGTGCAGTCAAATGTAGAGCTGTTAGTTGGGGGTTATCCAACAAAACTTAAGGTGGGAAGTATAGGGGAGTTATCTCATAATTGGCCTCTTTCTTCTGTGTGTGCGCGCGCGTGTTAGAAATTTACCCATTACTTTTTTTTCTATGTTACCCGGCTGCTTCTAATTTGGAAGCCGTGCCCATACCCGACACGTACACGTATCCAAACTTCTTGGACACTTCTTGAATATATGCATGCGTTTGCTAAAGCATATACTCAATTATATACTACATGCTTTAATTTAAAATACTCCACATACACTTCTCGGATGCACATTCTACACTTCACATCTATTTCTAATATATTGATCATATGTAAATGAAAAAAATAATATTGATCTTATGTATGTTATTACTATTAATACATATAAATGTACATAACGTACATATTTATAGCTGTGTCCCCGTACCCTACCTTTTACAAATTTGACGTGTCCCATACCCGTACCTGCACCCTTACCTGTATCCATACCCATACCCATGCAAGTATGCAACTTAGCTTTTTCTGTGAGAAGATCTAGTCATGAAATTAACATGAGCTTTACATAGTGAAATCTAGCAATACCTTGCTTCTAGCAACCTTCCCTACATTCTTCAACCTCTACTAGTATTTTAGATGGTGAAAGGGGATTTGTATTGGTTTGACTTATAATCATCATATAGCATGGATGAGTCAATCTGAAAACGATAGTATACAATATTAAGCATGTGCACATACATGGTTTACATTTGATTTTTCAGCAATTCACTCTTTTTGTGACATGGCTAAACTTTTAAATAATAGCAATGTCATCTAAAGATGTATTTTGATGCATACTGCCCTTCTAAACACCAGGCTTCAACCTGCAATGCTTCCTGTATAACAGTTTTCTATCAAATATGGTTTTCTGGGAACACCCAAAAGCTTATTTACTATCAACAATTAGGAGAAAATCTTGATGGAAAAGAGCACTTCCCAAAAGCTTATTTACTATCAACAACCTTATTAATGAATCAAACTGAAACATAAGAACAAAGAAGAAAATAATAGAAAAGAGGTATGCTCTCTCAGTTAAGTTTGAAGCTGGTTGAGATTAACGATTCCTAAATGAGATAAGAAAAAAGAAAAAGAAACAAAAACCGGTTAAGTACGTAGGAGCCATTTCATGACAATTCGATGCACTGTTTTTCGTGTGTGTACATTTTCACCTTTGCTCACCCACTCTGATATTACTGGGAAGTCAAAGAGCAGAACAAGGATAGGAAAGAAAATCTTTAATCATTGAAGTATGAGCAAGTCACAGATATAGCATTAAGAATAAAACTGAACTTAGTTTGGATTTATCTTCAAATAATAAAACTTAGCCACACAAAGGAATTATTCAGATGTGTACCATGGGATCATTGTCATCTTCAACGCTCCATGTAGGCCTGTCCCAAAAACTAGAAGGTTCTTCATACTGTCCCCAGCGAACGATGCAGACATGTTGATCAATAATTGTTGCACCCTGAGGAAATAAAATGTCAATTTTTTAATTTTTTAGACTAATCATAAGGATACAAGCTTATTGGTGGCTGAAATATGAATTTATGAGGCCAGGTTTGATCATAACATGAACTGTTCATTATATTGAACAGATAAGTGATTGCATAAGGCAACCAAGCCCGTTTAACAAAACAATGAATTAAAAAGATGAATTAAAAAGATGAATTACAGCTGACACTAAGTAAAAGTTCAGAAGATTGTTTAGAATAGTCAATAGTGTTAGCGACAATTGCTTGGTTCACCAAATAAAATCTTCAATCCCTGACAGAAGGAAAGGCAAAGTCAACTGATGAAAAGCTAAATTAACAGAAAATATCCCTTATGAAACAAAGTGATAATGTGAAACATGAGAGGCAGAATCAATATCTTCACAAATCAAATTCAACATCTAATATACATCAAAATGGCGATTGAATAAACCAGATGCTCTAAAACTTAAGATTAAACATTGAAATCCAGAAATTTCTGGACTTGTTAATCAATAGAAAATCAATTTAACACTTTGTAATTGGGAAATTGTCAGAATCAACAATCAGACAGATGTCGTTTTTCCCATGTACAGAAAAGTTTTCATCAATCTCAAATCTCTAGTTAGCTATAGCAAGAAAGGATAATGTACAAAGTAGAAGAGCAGAAACAAAAAGTCAAGAATCCACAAGATTAGTTCATCATTAATCATATTTTTCTTCTTGGAAGAAAAAAGAAAGAAAGAAAGAAAAGAGGAATACAATTAATCAGCAAGTTATTTTATAATATTTCAGCATAAATGGGAACTTACACTAAGCAAAACAGCAGTTTCTAGGGAGTGAGGTTCCTTAAATGTTACATAAGCAGTGGAAGCGTACTCTCCGGATCTGTTCGGAAATGCATTTTCAGAACTGATACATAAGGATACACATCAAACCTAGTCCCAACTATCTGGGACTTTAAGATAATTAACAGAAAGAAATTCATTAGCTAAAAAGTTATAGGTAATTAACAGAAAGAAATTCATTAGCTAAAAAGTCTGATTGTGAAGAAAAGGCACCAAGCACCTGATGATCTCAATGTGTTCAATGGCCCCAGAGAAAGAAAAGAAGTCATACAGGTCTCTTTCGGTTGCACGAGGTGAAAGATTAGAAACCTCCACTGTATAACCATCAAGACTCATGATCCTACAATACATCAGAGATTGACGTATAATCTTAAATATAATCAAAATATGATGGCTCCTTTTATAGTGAAAAATAAAATGCAACTTAAAACCTATACCAAATTGGGAAAACGAATAAGAAGCAGAAAAGCAAATGCTTGATTTATTAGGGCATTATGCTAAATGGCAAAAGCCATGATTACAAACCAAGGTATTTTACCTGGGGAAAAATAGATAAATCTTATCTTTATATAGACAAAGGAAAAATGACCTTGGAGAAATAAAGAAACATAAAAAGGAAATGAAAGTAGTACAAAAAATCATAGTGCATTTTAGCATGATCACATATTTCTATGCCACTTGATTCTTATGAATCAAATATGTAATTTCACCTAAATTCTATTATACATCAAGCATGTTATAAGCAATCAAATAGGTAGTAAGTAATGTGTGTCCAACCACATTTCAATTGTATAATGGCTTCATTTTTTCCTAAAATTTCCATCTCACACAATATCATCATACAATGCCCTCAATCGACCAAAAAAAAAAACCAAGAAGAGCAATCTTTCTCCTTTCTCTATAAATCCAGAACAAAATTTCATCTAACCAGTGACTTTGAATTAACAGCAAGTGTATAAAGAGATGACCTTAGAATCAAAGCCACCACTAGGGTTTTCAGAATAAACAAGATACTAATGGTCTACTCCCACTAAATTTCTAATTTCTGAACAAAATAAACATAACCCATATCACTCCAAACTCAGATTAACCAATAACCCAAAAATTTCTACAAGATACACAAGCATCACCGTAAAAAATAACAAAAAGGGATGGATGCAATTTACAAATTGAAAGAATCGCAAAACCCCATCTTAGGTCAACCCACAAATCACAAACTAAAGGATAAAATAAAAAAAACTTATATGCAATAAATTATTAATTGCAACATGAAGAACAAAATATGGACTTCGATGAAAGAAATTTTGATCACCAAAAAGAAAAAAATTACCCAAATTATTTGGTTATCGATCCTGCGAGTTATGAGAAGAGGGCTTGTCCACTATTTTTCATGTTTATCGTTGTTCTTTTGGACCGAGTATTATTAAATTTCGACGAAAAGATGATTTGAATTTACGATTTTACCCCCAACCCACCGCTTTCTGGAAAGAGAGCAGGTGGAACTTGAGCAGGGTTTATTTTGTCCAATTGCTACGTGCGAATGATAACTAATTGGGGTTTTTCGTTTTGGTCCCTTACGTCATATTGAATTTGATATTAGTCCCTTAAATCTTCATTTTTAATATTAGTCCCTCAATTACACTTTAATTGTTGATATTGAGATCATGGTTAAAAATGATGATATGTGATTAGGTTTGTAATAATCCTAATTTTTTTCTATTAGCTATATACATATATAAAACAAAGAAAAGTAAAAGAACTTTTATATATAAAATGTTAGAGGGTTTTATTAGTAAGTTACATCCTAAATAGTAAATACCCAAAACACTAGCCTTTGTCTCGCCGCACAACAAAAAAAAAAAAAAAACGGAAAAAGGAAGAAAACCCTAGAGGTAGAGCTAAAGGTGGGGATCAATATGATTAACTCAAGGTAATTTTTATTTCTACACTTAGAAGCACAAGGTCATAGCTCATTTTTGGGGCCATGGCTATGGAGGACCAAGGCTTGGTCCTCTTGCCTCTTGTTGGTTTGCCTCCGTGCCTTCTGTGGCCTTGAGTTCTATTAAGAAAAAAAAAATTGTTATGCATACAATGCTTAACCGTGGCTATAGGGTTGTTGATTGATTTTACTATAGTTAACTTAAGTTAGTATATCTTAAAATTATTTTTATAGGCGTTCGAGTTATAACTTATATGGTAGTTTTGATGATTAGTTGTAAATATTATGTAGGAATTCCAAGGGATTTCGAGGAGACGTTGTGACTGATTTCCGATAGTCTTTCGGGTTTGTGTAAGTGGTGAATTTGTATATTATTTGCTGCGTATTTTTCATATAAAATTAGATTGACCATATGTAAGTTTGTTTTGACGGATTATCCCCTTTTGTATGGTTGCTCGCATACTAATTGTTGTTTGAATTGGTGCACGTGGATATTTGGTATAACTGTATAAGCATATACTTATTTTCTTTATCGTATTTATGTCTTGTCATATAGTAGGTTGAGATGCATATGTGGTAAATTTCACTATTGGTTGGCCTTCGTCATTTCTGTATAACATACTTGGTTATGAACTTTGTTCATTTTTCTTTTTAAACATACGCATCTCAAGTCAATATATTGGTATACATCGAAGATAAGTAAGTCATCTAAATAGGGCTCAATGTGCCTCTATGAGCCCAAATTTGGGTCTCACCATCCTGACCACAGGTTAGATAATAGTGGGGTTTGCCAAGTCAATCGGAATATCAAAGTGTTGACTCCATTGAGACGTGGCCTGCTTATTTCCATTTCATGTATATATTTTAAAAATGTTGCATTATGGTTTTCTACTATTTTAGTGTTTTGCTTATCAAGTCAATTTATTTTTAGTTTTGTAAAACCAATGTTTAATGTATGAATTTATCCACTTATTGAGTTGTAAACTCATTGTGTTGTATTCATTCTTTTCAAATTCTCGGGATTAGCTGGAATTGATGATTTTCAAATTCTTAGAACAGAGTAACTCTTTGACCCCCGAATTTGGAGTATCCTACTTTCACGTGATTCACAGGGTTCAACAAGCAATCGATATTTCACGATCAAAGGTGTAGTACTGCTTGTAGTAGCGGTCCTTATATCTCGTATTTGGCATAAGTCTTTACAGGTTCTCCAGGAAAATATGTTGGTCTCGCGGAAACAATTAGGGGCTTTCAACTGATACTTTCCGGAGAATTAGACGGTCTTCCCGAGCAGGCCTTTTATGAATAAAATTGGAGATTGTTATTACCTTCTAGGTGAAGGTTAAATAAAGTTTTTGATGTTTAGTTGATAATTTAAGAGTTTTGTAATAATGAGATTCTTTCCTTTAGGTCTATTTTTATTTCAAGTTGAGGAATATTTGTTTATATCAAGTAAATCGTATTAATGTTGACTTTTGGGATTATAGAAAATATTTACTGTTGGTTTTAGTTTAATGAAGAGAATGTTTTAATGGTCTTTTGATGAATGTATATTTTTGGAAGATTTTTTACAGGTTTAGTCCGGCTCCAATATTCCTTTTAGGCTCGAAAATTGGGATCGTGACAATGTTAGTGCTAACTTTAGGTGGGTAATTATCAAACTATCCCCGACTCATTGAATTTGGATGCTTCTAATCTTTTTTTTCACCAACACTTTCCTAATTGAGCAAAATCTCCTCTTTCCCATAATTGTTTAAAATCAAATGGATGAAAGGAAGAAGATACGGGTCTAAATGGGTTTAGGTTTGCAATTAATGGGTTTGAGGGTTGTAAATGGGTATGAGTTAAATAAATAATAGGTTTGGGTTTATAATCAGAGGGCTATAATGGCCGATCCACCTAAAAATGTTACGCCTCGTTTGGTACGCGAGAATGGACAGACTTGGGAATGGAATGGAAGAAGGAATGGAATGGATTGCATGTAGGAATGGAATGGTCATTCTCATTCTCTTGTTTGGGTGCGTTCGTAGAATGAAGCTAGAATGGAAATCTCATTCCCATTCCCATGTTTGATATCACTAGTACACAAGTGAGAATGAAATCTCATTTTCTAATAATGCCCTTACAACAACATAGATTTTTAATAAGATAAAAAATAAACATTAATGATAATAACTAAATAATTTTATATACGCATATGTTATATTAATCTAGGTATGTGTTATACTAATGCTCGTGTTATCCATCAGGTGTATGTTTTGTTTATATTTTTTAAACAATACTCGATATTTCTTAGTCTTAAAAATTAAAGAAAAATAAAAAAAAAAGATTATCGTATCTTTCATAGGTCCAAAAAAAAAAGAATGATATCCACAATCCACAGTTCTAGATATATAAATTAACTTATTTGATAAAGTATCAAAATCACTCAATTCATAATAGCAAAAATCCATAAAACAATACCAACTAAAATAATAAGTTTCGAAATAGCAAAATGATATACTAGCCTAAATTATCAATCTAAAATTGCCCACTTGCATAGCGCCTCACCCAAACATTCTTTATTATTAATATGGATATAATTGAAAAATACCTAACTAGTTTTTGATTCTCACTTGAATGAGAATGACCATTCCTTATCTTCTCACTTGGAATGTTCATTCCCACAAATAGTGGGAATGATCATTCCTAGGGAATGGTCATTCCAACATCTAAAATATTGGTGAGTTTGGTATGAGGGAATGGGAAGTGGGAATTGCATTCCATTCCTCCTCATTCCCGCGTACCAAACGAGGCGTTAGAGTTAACAGAATATTCCTTTAATGTTATAACATCAACTAACTATGGGACTAATGTCAACATACTAATAATTTTTAAGGGACCAATATCAAAATGTGAAGATTTGAGAGACTGATATCAAAATGCTAATAATTTAAGAGCCTAATATCGAAAAACCCCTAACTAATTTCTCGGTAGTCTAGATACGTGTGTGTTTGTGTGTGATGGTTTGGTTCGAGTCGGATTTCACTGGTCCGATCCGCTAGTGGTTTTTCCTTCTTCCTCATTTTTTTTTTTGCCTATTTCTTTTTTGGGCTCACCAATGATTTCTTATTTGATATTATTTTAAGGGAAAATTGTGTCCAGGCCCCAAAAGCAGGGACTCATTGTGACTCGGCCCCTTATATTTTGGCCAATATGAATCACATGAGCCAAAATACAATGGGTCGTGTCACATGAGGTTTCTACTTTTGGGGCCTAGACACATTTTTCTCTTATTTTAAACCTGATACAACATGAATGAATGAATGTCTAAATTAAATATACGATCGAAATCGGTATGATTTTTTTTCTTTAATAAGTATGATTTATGCATATTGCGATTAAAATATTTTTGTTGATTTCAGATTTAATGATGAATATGTTGATTGGGATCTAAATATTAAAAATGGTGTGTGTATATATATATAGAGCTTTGCTACGGGGACCCAAAATATGGGACCAATAAAAGGGACAAGTGATGTGTCCCCTTCTTATTGGATAATGAGTTAGCCATCATTAATGATGACCAAGTCATTATCCAATAGGAATGGGACACCTCACTTGTCCCCTCTATTAGTCTTATATTTTGGGTCCTTGAGGAATTTTTCATTATTTATATACCCTAACTTGTATATTTGGTAGGAAGAATATCCCCCAAGGTTTTTTAAACTTATTACAGTTATATATCGGAAAAATTGATTCAAGTCCCCAAAATTTGACTTCTCATGTGGTCCAGACCCATGTACTTTGGCCCATATGGCTAAGCCCTAAAAAATTCAAAAAAAAAATATAATTGAGCCCTAAATGTCATTCTCTCAGCCGTATTTGCACCCAGAGACCCTAAAATACCCCTGCCTTTCTCTCCGTGCCTCAAAAACGAAATCTGATCGCTGACGATCCCTTCCCGTCACAATTAAGGCGAGGTGATGGCCGTTTTGGGGGGGAATTTTGGCTCGCTCCCTCCATTATATATCCTTTTAACCCACTCGTCTTTGAATAGAGTGTATTTATGTAATGACCGTAAATTTCTAATACGTGTTTAAATAATTTTTCTGGTATCTAAATATTAAATATTATTTTTATAAAAGAGTATTTGTATTTTCCATAATTTCCTAAAATTTTCTATGATTAAAAAATTAAGCCTCATATTTATTTTAATGGTTTTGCTAATTATAAATTTAATTGTTTAGGTAAAGTTTTTTAAATTAATAATTAATTATTTATTATTGTTATTAACATTATTATTTTGACGTTAATTTTTAATATTTATTTGAATAAATTTTTTAGTATTTTAATTATTATTTTAAAAGGCTATTTTTCCTGCGTTTTCCCTCTCATCTATAAATCGCTCTGTCTCTCTCTTCATCTCTCTCCCCTACCCCACTTCCCCTAAATCCCTCCCTATTTCACGCAACTCCCCACCTGGTGCTTCCCCCACTCCTCCTCAAAAATCCCCCACGCAACTCTCTCTCTCACTCTCTCTCTCTCCTCTATTATTCACCAGCTCTCTCTCTCTCTTTAGCTCTCTCGTTCTCATCTCTCTCTCTCTCTCTCTCTAGCTCCTCTCTCTCACTTCGTTCTCCTTCTCTCTCAACCCACCACCACCTCAACTCTCCATCATCGTCGCCCATCACATGCAGCATCTCCAAGCTCCCGACGTAACCGGCGCAAGCCCGCATGCCGCCTAGCTCAACCCCCGAGCGTCGACACCGTCCACAGGCCCCAAACTCCTCCCTGACCACGCGCCTCCGACGCCTCAGTCGTCGACGCGCCAACTTCCGCTCGCAAAGGCCCGCCTCCAGCTCGCCGACCCGAGCTCCGACGCCAGCCCCATCAAAGCCTCCCCCCCAACTCCAAGACCTCCAGCCAAGCTCTTACCGCCCCACCACGCTCCATGTCATCGCCGTCACCACTAAGACCCCCTCTCCAATCACCGCGCGCCTCCCCCCATCAACTGACGACAGCCGCGGCGAGAGCCCCACTCACTCTCTCCAGCTTCAGCCATCGAGCTAATCGACCTGAGCCCTCAGACCCTCCGACACCCGCAACCCCCCTGAGCTCGACCGCCTCCGTCGCTGGCCCCTACCCCCCCCGCTCGCCCAACACCCGCCGCAGCTTCTCCACCTGAGCTCCGCCAAACCGAGCTCGCCCAGCTCCTGACAGCCCGACCGCTTCTGCTCTCTCTCCCCCCATCACGCAACGCCCGCCAACGTCACCGTCGCGCCTCTTCGGCACAGCCTCCTCCCAATCCCGCACTGCAGGCCGCCGCTGCCTCGCCACACTGCGTTCCGACCACGCCCCATTCGTTGCCTTTGCCGCCGCCGCGAGCGCAGGCTCTTGACCAGCGCGACACCCGCCGCCGCCAGCTCCTTGGCCCGCTGCCTTGTTTCGTCGGCACCTCAGCCGCGTCGCACCAGGCCCCATCTCTGCTATCGGTCTCCCGCGCCGTTGCACCGTCGTTGCCTTCTCGAGGCTGCTGGCGTGCGTCGCCGAAACAGCAAGTAGCGTCACCGTCACCTCATCCGCGGGCCCGTAACCTCACACGGTAACGACGTATAGTTCAACAATACCCCAAGGTAAGATCCAACTTGCTCATATCTAAATTTTGTATTTATTATAAATTATCGATAATTTTAGATATGTTAATAATTACCTGCGTGTGATTGTTTGATGAATGATATTAGATAAATCATCATAATATGATAATTAGTATTTTTAGAATAATTATGATAAATTAAAAGAATTTATTTCGGAAACGGAATTATTTTTAGATAATTATATTAATTAAAAAGAATTTATTTGAGAACGAAATCATTTTAGAAAAATTATAATAATTTAAAAGGAATTATCTTGGAAAAAGAATCATTTTAGAATAATTATAATAATGTTTAGAAATTATCTTGTGGAAGAAATTATTTTAGAATGATAAATATTTTTAAAAAGAAATTATTTTAGAAAAATAGCCTATTTTGAATTAATGAGAATGTATCTTATAAAAAGATTATTTATGAATTTATTCTTTTAAAAGATTTTTTTTGAATTATTATAATAATTAGAAATTAACTTATTTTGGAAAAAGGGATTATTTTGAAATTAAATTAAAAGAATTTAAATTGTAAAAGGAATTATTTTAAAGTAAATACATTTATTACTTTAGAAGGTTATTTTAGAACAATTTTATGATTCAAATTCTTAATTTTGATTATCTGATATGCTATGATATTGTTGTACATGATTAGTTGCATTGATTGTTCCTTGTTGTGATTGAGAATCGTTAGGAGTTTATGACTATATGGAAGCTTGTTTAATCACTTAGTTGTTATCCAATAGGAGAGACTGTACATGAAGACGACTCATGTTAAAAGTATGATTTATAAGCGTGCTTCAAAGCATGGCTATACTCACTCGACATTGATATCCCGATTTGAGGAGTCCCGAGTTCCCTCGATATCGATATTCTAGTATGAGGTTTCCTTGATTATTATTATTATAGCATTGACTAGACGATGCACTCTTGATTGGACGTGTTACGGGTCATGATTATTTTCATAGTTTTACAGAAGTCGTTCCACGGTAACTCCGTAGCTAGTGCACGATATTTCATGTACAGTTATTTTATTAATTTGACAACATGGGGTTAATTATGAAGGGGAATTGGACGGAGAATATAGTATGTATATAAACGGGCATAGCGCTTTCCTGTTATCGTGATATCGTGGGTGTTATATACATGGGCCAGAGGGCCAATACTTGACTTGAAGGCGGCCCCCGGACAGGTTTACGAGGACCCAATTATATATATAAAAATATTCTTCTCTGATTCAAATAACATGTAAAATATGTATAATGTGCTTGTGTGTCTTATGGAAGGCTTTGTTAGTTTTGTTGAGATGTGGACCAGTGAGTTGTTATAGAATGGCTGGTTACATGACCTCATTAGTTGGATGATTGTGGATACATGTGACATACAGACCAGTTATATTTCTTTTCATACATAGATCGGGGTTAATATTTAATTATCTATAATTTGAGACATATGGTATATACATGAGGGTTTCATTGTTTAGATTATTTTGCTCGACGTACTACGTCTCGGGTTATAGATTTTTAAGTATTAATTACATCTAGTGTATGACCCTATACTTAGATGATTATTCTGATCACTAGCTGCATGATCGACTTGTTACTTGGTTGATCCCCTTGGATTTTTTTTGATTATTCTATTCTAGTAGTAAATTATATTTAGATTATTAGTATTCCAGCTGCATGTTTCTATTTATTATCACCATTATTGCATTGGTCGCACGGCCGTTTCTATTCTTCCTTTTGGGATCTTACCGTGTGCCATGCACGCTGACGTACTCCTTTCCTCTCGGGATGTACATCAGATTTAGAGGAAGGACAACCACAGTTTGGAGTAGTACATGAGCCAGAGGGGCCTCCGTAGGAAAGCTTTGCATACAGAGCAGGAGAACAAGTCGAAGCTTAGTTACCTCTTTTAGTTAGTTGATGACCCTAGTTTACTTTTGTAGTACTTTTATCTTCCGCCTGATCGATGTATTTCATATTTATATTTTCCAGCATTCAAATAGTCTTGTATAAGGGCATGCTGACCTAAATATTATGCCTGGGATGATATTCATTTGTGATATGTATTATTTTATTTTGAGTTTGTTCATTATATTCTTGCTGATTGTGATCGGGGACCTGTGACTTCGCATTGTATTTATTTCCAGACGCTTAGCGTATTGGATTGAGAAGAAAAGAAAAGAGAGAAAAAAATGACAGTGTATATTTCTTCTCAATCTAATACGTCGCGGGCTTGTTCACGTTCCGATTCTCGTGTATTTGGAAAGCGGGGTGTGACAATTTATGATGCAAAGGGCAGATTTATACGGTTAGGGCTTATGATCTTCAACCCCCTACTTGTCCTAAAGTGCCCTTCATAAATCTCTTAAATCCCCTTTATCTATGGCGGAGAACCCCCCTTATTTGCATGGTTTCCTTGGGTGAGAGAGCAGTGTTGTCAAGGGTAACGTGTGCAACCTCTTTTTTTGAGTTTAAGTTTAACGTGGCTGAGAGGTTGAAGGTTCCTTATGATGCGTTATCAATGGTTTATAAATCTGAAAGGATCCCTGATCTGAGTTTTGAGATTGAGAATAAAGATGATATGGAGTGTATGGTGGAGCACAACCGTAATATCGGGTGTCTGGAGATCCATATTCGAGCTACTATAGTTGTAGATGTTTCCAGATGTCAGAACACCCCGAAGCAACCTCCTGAAATGCAAGTTATATTTACACTTAATTTTTTTGAAAACTTATGAATTGCGTGAGTAAAATGTGGAGAAATGATAACATAGCGAATTGTTTCAGGTTAAACGTTAGCTTTTAACTGATATATGTTAACTTTCTACCCAAGGTTGTTAAGCTTTAGGACATATGTGTTAACTTTTAAAGGTACTGCAGAATTTAACTACAAGTCATGTTCGTTATTTTAAGAAAAAACAATTACATTTGTGCAGCATTATTAATACATTGAAGCCACAGTTTATTGATAGCACTTCTGTCGCAAATCATGATTCAGAAATAATTCCAATTGATAATCCCAACGGTAGCATTGTAGTGCGATCCAATGACATTGTTAACAATACATTAATGATTCTTGGTTGGTGGCATAATGCATTAACTGAAGAGGGTCAAGAATTTGAGAGTGCTGGAGAATTAAGGTTGGCGCTGACATATTATGCTCTTGCCAAAATGTTTGATTATGAGTTAAAAAAAAACGAACCAAAACGTACCCGTGTATATTGTCGATATAAACCCATGAGCTTATATCTAACACCCCCCACCCCACCCCACCCACCCACTCACCCAAAAAAAAAGGGCGAGCAAACCCCCTAACATGGGGGGAAGGGGGTGATATTTAGGCTAACAAAAACTATACCTAGCTAAATATATTAGAGTTTAGAATTTTGAGTATTACGATGCGGAAATTGTGCGGAGGCGTAAAAACGATCAGTCATCAAATTTATTGCTGTTTGCGTCTACATTTCACGTTAACTGTACTCTATGCACAATCCTTGTTAACTCAATATAGTTTTTGTTACAAAACCTCTACGTGACCGTGTTAAGCGTAGAAGACGAGAAAGAAGTTGACACAAATGACTAACCTAATTTTCTTAATATTAAAAACAATGGGAACAAGCAGCCCAAAAAAAAAAAACTTTTTTTTCTTCTCATGAGCACAACATGTCGTTGTTGGGCAGCGGAAGCCCCATTGTTAATGGGCCATGGCCCATCACGAAGTACAAACGTCCGTCTTTGCCGCGAAGAGAGGCGGCTAATCCACTATTTGTCATTTTTTTATGGGAAAAAAAATTTGGAGATGCGGGGTGTTGATCCCCGATAACAAGCGTTAAAGGCTGGTACTCTTCCGTTGAGCTACATCCCCTGTTGTCATAACCTGTTTACTATTTTAGTTAGTTCTCTTTTTAACCCACAATAGACCTAACAGGCCCATCAATTTAAAGCGGCCCATCCAATCCGTCTCCCTAATAAATAATCATTCGAAAACTAAAATTACCATTAAATTGGATTTGTCCAATGTACACCCCTCCAAAACTGGTATTTTTAACTCCACCCTCTAAATCGTTACAATTTAAAAAAATTGCTTTTGCTCTCACATGTACCCTCCCACCTCAACAGATGTTGAAGTCCTGAACGTTTTAAAGGATAGATTACCATTATATCCGTATTGAAATGTTTTTTTTTAAGAAATCAACAAAAATAAAAGCTAATCCGTTATAACTCCTAAACCTATTATAAAAAAATATCAGATTTTCTCTTCAGCGTTCGCATTCTGCTCTCTCCACCAGGAAGTTCCCGACCACCGACCCCATTTCCCTGTTAGGATTGGTAGTCTTTTGGTGATTAAGTCGATTAGACTTAGTCATACTTTAGTTGTTGCTTGTGTTAATAATGTCCTGGATTATAGGGCTGTAACTTAGCTTTGAATCATTCCTGTAACAGATTTACCACGTTTTTAGGTTGTGTGAATGTGGTTGCAGCTTGTTATCATTTCTGTTTGTAAGGCTGGTATAAAGCCACAGTATTTCTCATTCAATAAAGAGTGCTCTGTGTTTTTAGGTTCTAAGTTCCTAACAAATGGTATCAGAGCCACATCACGGGGCCTGATCGGGAGTGAAGAAACAACAGATTTCTTAAGAGAGAGAGAGCGCAAAAAAAAGGGGAGAAAGAGAGAGAGACAATGGCTTCATCTTCAGAGAAAAACTTTGTGCAGCCATCAATCCCAAAATTCGATGGCTATTATGATCACTGGGCTATGATGATGGAAAATCTTCTTCAGACCAAGAAGTTATGGAGCATGGTGGAAGAAGGAATCATGGAGCTAAAAGAAGGAGTTGAACCAACAGAGGCTCAGCGTAAGACAATTGAGGATCAAAGAGAGAAAGATCGCAAAGCCAAGAACTATCTGTTCCAGGCTATTGATCGCACAATACTAGAAACTATACTCAACAAAGAAACGGCCAAGAGTATCGGGGACTCTATGAAGCAGAAATATCAAGGGAGTACAAGGGTGAAGAGGGCTCAACTGCAAAGACTAAGGAGAGAATTTGAAGTGTTGCATATGAGAGAGGGTAAAAAAGTGGACGAGTATTTTGCACGTACACTCACAATTGCCAACAAGATGAAGTCTCATGGGGAGAACATGAAGCAGGTGATGATTATTGAGAAAATACTGAGGTCCATGACCGCAAAGTTTGACTATGTGGTATGCTCCATTAAAGAATCCAACAACTCCGTTTGGATACCATTGTGTTTTATTTGTTTTCATGGTGTTTTTGCCAAAAATAAAACACCATGCGTTTGAAAATCATAGTGTTTTTTGAGCTAAATCATCCTCAAACCAAAAACAAAATACTTATTTCAAAACACCTTTTAGGTGTTTTAAGTTTGGTGTTTCAGGTTTGATTTTGAGAATGTGTTAATATAATATCTAACATAATATATTAAATATAATTATTATAGAGTTATTATCAACATGCTTATTATATTATACTATACTATACTATATTATAGTTAATTTAATATATTAATAATATTTATTAAATAATATAAAAAGATAATAAATAAAATATCTTATATAATAATATAGTAACATATTAAATACCAATATTTAATATGTTAATAATGTATTATATAATAATAAAATAATAATAAAATATAAATAAACTAATAAAAATAATAAAAAATTCTTGATAATAAATAAATAAATATAAATAATATACTATTAATATTATAATTGATAATATTAGTAACTTTTTAAATAAATAAATTGTAATAAATTAATAATTATAAAAATATAATACATAGTAAGCATAATTTAATAATAACATAAACATATAATAATATTATTATAATAACATATTGTATAGTAAATGTAATATAATATATATAAGATTAATATTATTATGGCAATAAATAATATAATTTTATTATAAAGTAAAGTAATTTTTAATAATAAAATAATTTATTGCTAACAAATGGTAATGTGGAAAAAAAATATAATTCATAATAATAATAATATTATTTATATCATAAGCTAACTAATACTATTATTAAAGTAACTATTAAATAAACTCCTAATATATTAAACTATATATAGTTATTTAATATTAAAATTTATTCTATGATATATTAGTTTATTAATACATGCAGTGAATAAATATAATAACATTATTATAATATTAATATTATATGAATAATTAGTATATCATACTATATTATAAATTAATAATAAGTATATGATTTATAATTAATAAGAAAATAATAATATTATAAAAATATTAATATAATATACAACAATAACAAATTGATATACAAAAATAATTAAATATATAATTATTTAAAAATAATATGTAATAATTATAATATAATAATAATTATAATATAATATAGCATATTAAAGTACAATATAATATTATAATACATTATATAATATTATATTGCATTACATTTAATACCTATACTACTATAATAATGTAAACTAAATATTATAGCATTTTATTAATAATATAATTAATATATAATATATTAATAATATGTTTAATACTAATGTTATAATTGGTCAAACTAGTGTCAAATAAAAATACTTAACATGGTGTTTTGAAAACATTTTAAGAGAAAAACACAACACCATGGTGTTTTTTTACAAAAACACAATAAGAAAAACACCATGGTATCCAAACGAAGATACTTTGACTATAGATGAATTGCAGAGTAGTCTATTGGTGCATGAATAGAGGATGAATGGGCATACAAATGAAGAACAAGCTCTCAAGGTCAGTCATGAAGATAAATTTGGATACAGAGGCAGAGGCAGAGGTGTATTTCGAGGAAGAGGAAGAGGCAGGGGAAGGCAACAATTCAACAAGGCACTGATAGAGTGCTACAAATGCGACAATCTAGGACACTTCCAATATGAGTGTCCTAGATGGGAAAAGAATGCCAACTATGCTGAGCTAAATGAAGAAGAGGAGATGTTATTGATGTCCTCTGTTGAATTCAACAACTCGGAGAGAGATGAAGTGTGGTTCCTAGACTCTGGCTGCAGCAACCACATGAGCGG